GCTCTCCTGGGGCTGGAGTGCCTTCTCCCAGGTGAGGGTGAAATCTGGAGGAGCCTGTACTGCCTGGGGTAGGAGGTAGGCCTCCCTCTCTAGAACTCTCCAGGGCTGATACACCCCCAGGGGGACATGAGCTCATCCACTAAGGTAAAACTACTTCAAAATGAAAACAAATGGGATTGTAAATATCTTCAAAACCTGGAGATTAGAAGGGACAGACCAAGAATTTAAAATAAGCATAACCTTATCGGTTAGAATAGCTGTCGTCAACAGGACAAGTAATAACAAGTGTTTGGAGAGGATGTGGAGAAAAAGGAACCCTCACACACTGCTGGTGGGACTGCCAATTGGTGCAGCCACTATGGAAAACAGTATGCAGGTTCCTCAAAATACTAAGACTTGATTTACCATATGATCCCGCAATCCCTCTACTGGGTATTTACCCCAAAGACTTGAAAACTCAGATCCGAAAAGATATTTGCACAGCAATGTTCTTAGCAGCACTATTCACAGTGGCCAGGACATGGAAGCAACCGAAGTGTCCTACGATACATGATTGGCTAAAGAAGCTGTGGTACATATATACAGTGGAATATTACTCAGCCATAAGAAGAGATGAAATACTGCCATTTGTGACAATATGGATGGACCTTCAGATGATCATGCTAAGCGAAATAAGCCAGACAGAAAAAGTTGAAAACCCCATGGTATCACTTACATGTGAGATATGAACCTAAAAGCGACAAATAGGACAAACAGAGACTCATGGACATGGATAATAGACTAGTGGTTATCAGAGGGTGGGAAGGAGAGGGGAGGGGGGATGTAGATGGGGTAAAATGGGTCAAATATGTGGTGACAGAAAGAAATCTAACTATGGGTGGTGAACATAGAATGCAATATATATGCCTTATTATTGAATTGTACACCTGAAACTTACTGGATTTCGTTAACCAATGTCACCATAATAAAAAAATTAAAAAAAAAAAGCATAATAAACATACAGTCTATGGAGCTGAGGTTCTAGGAATCACAGCTTTAAAAATGCAAATATTTACAACTTGGTGGGAATTACATTCCATGCAACTACTTAAACATGGTGTAAAAGTTCAAACCTCAATTTAAACATGTGTAAAGGGGACACTGCTTTTCAACATCACTTTAGGGTCCACTTGAGCAAAAAGAAAACCACCGATTCCAGCCCTGCACCGAGCTGGCTGCGCCTCTGAGGTTGAGTGTCCTGGTTACAGCTCTGCCAGGCTGTGAGGCAAGGCCTATCAAAATCCTTCTGCCTAGAAAGCAATTTCTTGGTTGGGATCCAAGCTTAAAATGCCTCTGCCCATTCTGGGAGGAACAGGAATAGGGTCCTGGGGTAAGCTGACGTGTGTGTGTTGGGGGTTGCAGGAGCAGTTGTGTGGAGGAGTAGGTCCCTTGGCAAGCTTTGGGGGTTGTTGGCAGAGGGACTGGAGGGCAGAGAGAGGCTGACTCGACCCTCTCCTCAGTCCACTGCTGCCTTTTTGAAATTCTACAGCTAACCAGTCACGCTTGGGATATGAACTAGTCCATCTTCCTGCTCCCCACTGACGCATTTTCCTCAGCTGAGGGTCCTGAGAGCATCCTGTTGTGAAAGAAGTTCAGAACGAGGAAGGTGGTGCTCTGGAGCCACAGAGGGAGGAGCTGACGGGGCGGTGGACCTTGCTTCTTAGGGAAACAAAAGAACTCCTTGGAAGAAGGGGCCAGTGGGTCTCAGAAAGGAAATCTCAGGAACCAACTGTGGTACAATGGAATATGACTCAGCCTTAAGAGGCAATGAAATTCTGATTCATGCCACAACGTGAATGAACCCTGAAGACATTATGCTAAGTGAAATATCCCAGATACAAAAGGATAAGTATTGTATGATTCCACTCAGACGGTACTTAGATTTATAGACAAAGAGGAGAATGGTGGTTATGAAAGACTGGTGGGAAGGAAGAAGGGAGAACTGGTGTTTAATGAGGACAGAATTTCAGTTTGGGATGATCAGAGTTCTGGAGACGGATGCTGGTGATGGTTGCATCATGTCGCGTTGTGAATGTACTTAATACCACTGAATTGCACACTTGAAAATGGTTCAAAACGTAAATTTTAGCTTATGTATATTTTACCACAATAAAAAAATAAGCTAAATCTAAAATAGCCTTTGGATCTAACTTCTAGTTTACAGTAAATACAGGGGTGGAAAAAACAAGTTAAATTGCACTATGAAGTCGCAATCAGGAACATGTAGAATGTGGGAATGTGGGACATTGTACAAGAAAATTCGCCTGTACTTCAAAAAGTCAATGTCCTGGGGGGCGGGGGGAGGAAATGGCGTTGTTCAAATCAAAAGCGACTTAAAAAAATACAATTACCAAATGTAATGCATGCACTTCACTGGATCCTGTGTCAAAAACGAGCAAACTTAAAAAGACATTTGAAACGACTGGGAAAATGTGATTATGGACTAGATGTTGGTGATATTAGAGAATCAATGTTAGTTTTCTTAGGTCTGAATATGGTGTTGCGGTTATGTTAGAGAATGTCCTTATTTCTAGAAGCTACATGCTGAAATATCTAGGGGTGAAGTGTATGATCCAGAAAAATATAAGCCTCACACACCACACAGAGAAGCAAATACAGCAAAAAGGAAACCGCTGTTGAATCCTAGGTGGTGGGTGAAGCCTGCAGAATTCCTTCCATTTTTCTGTACGCTGAAAACATTCTTAATAAAAAGTTGGGGAAGAAAAGTTGTAACTGTGCAGTTTTAGGAGCCGTGTGACCTTGGGCAGTCTCCTTGACCTTCAGGCCTTATCTTTCTCAGCTAAGGAACAGAGCTAAGATTACCTACCTCACACTGTCGTCTGGATAAAAAGTGTAAAACACCAGGCCCAGGTACCCAGTGGCTGTGGGGTTACTGTCAGTATTACTATGACCATCTCCTGGCCGGTGTCTGGTAGGGAGTGCCGAGCAGCCCTGGGAACATCACTCCAGCTCCCGCGCCTCCGTTTCCGCTCGGCGGGCGCGGACAGGACCGGTAACTACGTAACCGCTGGGGGCGTGGCCTCCGGAACGCGCGCACCCGAAGCCCGGCCTCGGGGGCGGGCCGGAGTCCGAGGGCTGCAGCCTATCAGGAGTTGGGACCGGGAACCTGTCCTGCGGGCCAATCGTGGAACTGATGGGCCGCAAAACCTGACCAATAGCGGGCCGCCGTCAAACCCGCGCGGAATTTAAGAATACGAGCGCCGCGAACTGCAGCGTTTGGCGCCTGGCTGCTGCGGGGGCGTCCTCCCTTCCCTCCGCGGTGTCGCCTGGCCTGGCCTGGCCTGGCCTGGCCGGGCCGAACCGGACCGGACTCTCCCCTCTCTGGCCTTGGGGTCAGAGAGGGGGGCACTGCGGACCAGAAGCCCGGTCTGACGACCTCCCCCCTCGAGGGGCAGAGCCACGTAGTTTTCCGCGGCCGCTTCCTCCTTGTCAAGTAAGAGCAGTAAAAACGCGGTTTAGGCGGGAGGATGGGACAGGCCCAGATGATTCAGGCGGGAGGCGAAGGGGAGGATGGCGATCCCCCCCCCCTCCCCCGCCTCGTGGTACTGCTCGTCTTTTCAAAGTTTCTACAGTGCACATGTATTATTTAGGTGGCCGGGGCGGAGGGGGGGGGCAATTAAACTAAAAATGGAGTCATAATCTCTTGTTAGCTCACAAGGTTACACTTTATGGTTCCTATACCCACAGAGCATAGCAGGAGCTCTTCATTCATGTCTAGCATTTTGGCACTTGCAAGGCACACGTCTCCGACAAATCCAAAAAAGCAAATACAAAGTGCAATGGAAACTAGGCCGCATGTCCACCCTCTCACCCCAGTGGACATTGTCAGCCTCCTCTTCAGGCTCATGGATGCCCGATGAGCAGTAAGTGAACCTCCGGGTCTTCGATCATTCCCTGAACTTTCTCTCAGGAACCTTCGGTCAGTTTGCCATTCTTCGAACCATGTTGACAGGGGACAGCGGCCTGACAGCAGTCACAATTTCAGTGGAAACTGCACCAAAGGCCCTCTCTGTCATTTAGTTAACTGGAAGGCTTACAAAGGACTGAGCATTTTACACAAATTATCTCAATTAATCCTCGCATTAATAATCCCACAGGTTAGGTACGGTTACAAGTCCCATCTTTAAGTCATCTGATGTGTCCAAGGGACACAGCAACTGCACAGCGGGACTCAGTAGCCTGCAGCCCTAACAGACTGCACGGCTGGCACCAACCACCCCACACATTGGCTGGGTCTCAGGGACTTTGCTTCCCCACCCCCCAGTGACACGTATCTAAACGGTCGAAACAAGGCGTTCCCTCGAGCCAGGGGCGTTTTTGCAGACATTTTCACCAACCTATTTGCAAAACCCTTATCTCCGCCCGAGAAACGGGTTCGTGGAGGTGGAGCGATGCGGCACATCCAATGGGCAAGCCCGTCAGTCCTGAGGGTCCCGTTAAAAAGCCGAGCGAGAATTCGCGGGAACTCTCTGGTCCCGAGCGCCTCCTCACCTGTGTGACCTCCACGCCGCCGCCTCAGCCATGCAGTGTGTCCGCGTTCCGCTCGCCACCATCGGGGCCCCGCAGCAGCCGCAGCCGCAGCCGAAGCTGCAGCTGCAGCTGCAGCTGTCGC